TTTTTTGAAATTATTAAGATAGTAAATTTTATGTAATGTATATTTTACCAAAATTAAAGCTAAAGATGAAGACGTATCCAGAAAAATCAAAAGTATTCTCAAAAGTAAATTTTAGTGAGAAAACAAGCAATTCAATTAAGATTGGGAAATAGCTTTGAACAGATAACTTCCCTAATGAAGCTATATAGATGGCAGACACATAAAAAGATGCTCAACATTATTAGTCTTTAAGGAACTGCATGTTAGAACAATAATAAGATGCCACTATTCACCTACTAGAATGTCTAAAATTAAAAAGACTGACCGTATTATGTGCGGGTGAGGATATGGTACAACAGAAATTCTCATACACTTCTGGTGTGGGTATGAAATGATAAAAACCAATTTAGAAAATGGTTTAGATGTTTTTGAAAAATGTAAAATTCATCCAGCCATTCCACTGCAAAAAAATGAAAGCACGTGTCCATATAAAGATTTGGGCACAAGTATCCATAACAGCTTTATTGTAATAGCCCCAAACTGGAAACAACCCAAATGTGCAATGGATAAAGTAGGGTACATTCAGATAATGGAATTTACACAGCAATAAAAAGAAATTATGTGCTGCGACACACACAGATCTCCAAATAATTATGCTGAGTGAAAGGAACCAGATAGCCCAGCCGGTGTGGCTCAATGGATTGAGCCTCCTCCAATGGACTGAGAGGTCCCATTCCACTCCCCATGAGGGCACATTCTGGTGTTGCCAGCTCCATCCCCAGTAGGGGGCATATGGGAGACAGCAGATAGATATATTTCTCTCACATGGATGTTTCTCTCTCCCTTTCTCTTTAAAACAAACAAACAAACAAACCAACAAACCCTGGCCGGTTTGGCTCAGCGGTTAGAGCGTCAGCCCACGGACCAGAGAGGCCCGGGTTCGGTTACCGCTAAGGGTACGTACCTCGGTTGCAGTTTGTCTCCAGCCCCAGTTGGCATCATGTGAGTGGCAGCCACTGGATGTGTCTCTTACATTGAAGTTTCTCTTACATTGAAGTTTCTCTCTCTCTCCCTCCCGCTCTATCTGAAGATAAATGCAAAAATGTCCTCCGGTAAGGATAAAACAAAACAAAACAAAAAAACCCACAAATCAATAAAAACATATTAAAAAAGAAAAAAAGAAAGGAACCAGACAAAACAAGTATACAGTGTGTTTCCCTTTATGTAAAATTAATTTAAAAAAAATCCTCACCTGAGGATATTTTTCCATTTTTATTCAGAGAGAATGGGAGGGAGGGAGAGAAAGAGAAACATCGATGTTGGAGAGACACATTGACTGGTTGCCTCTTGCAAGACCCGACCAGGGCAGAACTGCAACCGAGGTACGTGCTCTTGACCGGAATCAAACCCGGGACTCATTGATCCAAAGGCTGATGCTCTGACCACTGTGCAAACTGGCCTGGGTTACAATTAATTCTTGAAGATGCAAACTAATCTATAGTGGCAGAAAGCAGATCAATGGTTGTCTGGGGGTGGGGGAAGCAATGTGAACAAAAAAAAAAGGAAGAAGGGAGGAGATACAAAAGGGCAGGAGGAATGTTTTGGGGGTTGTGTGTGTGTATCATTTTAATTGTGATGATGGTTACACAGGTATATATAAATGTCTAAATTTATAGCAGGGTACACTTTAAACACGTGCAGTTTATGGAACATCAGTTATATCTTTTTTTTTTTTTTTTTTTTTTTTAATCATCCTCACTCGAGGACATTTTTCCATTCTTTGTTCAGATAGAGTGGGAGGGAGAGAGAGGAACAGAGAGAGAGAGAAACATCGATGTGAAAGGGACACATCGAGTGGCCGCCACCTGCACAACCAACCAGGGCCGGGGACAAACTGCAACCAAGGTACATGCCCTTAGCGGGAACCGAACCCGGGTCTCTCCGGACCGCAGGCCGATGCTCTAACCGCTGAGCCAAACCGGCCAGGGCACATCAGTTATATCTTGAAGCTGATAAAATTGTGTTAAAATAAAACCACTGCCCTGGCCAGTTTGCTCAGTGGTTAGAACGTTGGCCCATGGACCAGAGAGTCCCAGGTTCGGTTCCTGCTAAGGGCACATACCTCGGTTGCAGTTTGTCCCCGCCCTGGTTGGGGTCGTGTGAGTGGCAACCAGTTGATGTGTCTCTCTCACATCAATGTTTCTCTCTCTCTCCCCTCCTTCCTTCCCACTCTATCTGAAGATAAATGCAAAAATGTCCTCAGGTGAGGATAAAAATATAAAATAAAATAATAAAATACAACCACTGAGATCCGGCCCGTGTGGCTCAGCAGTTGAGCGTCGACACACACACCAAGAGGTTGCCAATTTGATTCCTGGTCAGGGCACATGCCCAGGTTGTGGGCCTGATCCCCAGTGGGGGGCATGCAGAGGCAGCCAATCGATGGATGTTTCTCTCTCTCTCTGCCTCTCCCTTCCTCTCTCTCTAAAATAAATAAAGAAAAAAATAAAACCACGGAGGGAAACTAGGTGAAGAGTAGAAAGGACTTATTTATATTATCTTTGTAACTTCCTGTGAACTCATAATATTTAAAAGTAAAAAGTTTAAAAAAATATATATACAACTTTTTAAAAGTTGTATTAATGCTTGTCAAATAAAAGCTGTACCAGTTAAATGCTCTTTAAAGCTATTTGAACACCAATCAGAAAGAATATATGTACCTCTATGTTCATAGCAGCACTATTTACAATTGCTAAGATCTGGAAACAGCCCAAGTGTCTGTCAGTAGATGAGTGGATAAAAAAGTTGTGGTACATATACACAATGGAATATTATGCAGCTGTAAGAAAGAAATTGTTCTTATCCTTTGAGACAACATGGAGGGACTTGGAGAGTATGATGCTAAGCGAAACAAGCCAAGCAGAGAAATATCATATGATCTCACTTATTTGTGGAATATAATGAAATAAACAAATTGATGAACAAAACAGACCCAGAAATATAGAAGTAAGGCACAGACTGACAAACCTCAGAAGAGGGGGTGGGGGGGAGAGATAAACCACAGAACTTCTATGCATGTATGCATAACCAATGGACATAGACAACAAAGCTGGGGACGGGGTAGGGGGGGATGGGGAGGAGGGTGTCAATGGGGCAAAACGGAAAAACATCTGTAACAACAACAAAAAAAAGTTGTTTGAGGTCTGTTTCTCCACAACCTAGTAGTGGTGGGTGTAATAAATAGAAATTACTTTTACCAGTCCAAGAGGTTGTTCACTTTATACTCCTTTGAATATAAATTTAATATCATTTCAGGTTTCAATGGGACATTTTTATTTCTTCTTTGAAGTACCTGCTTATAAGCTTCTCTGTTTTACCTCCTTCAGATGCTTGCTTAGATGTGACCTCGAAGCAGCTTTCCTGACCTATTTAAAATCGCAGCACCACCCCAGCACCCATTCCTGCTTCATTTTCCTCTGTAGGATTTACCACCATCTGACAAGCTATTCAGTTTACTTATTGATCTTATTTAATGTGTCTCCCCACACTAAAATCAGGGGCAGGGGTTTTTGTCTGTTTTGTTCACTACCAAATTCCCAGTACTAGAACGTACCTGGCACATCATAGGCATTCAGTAACTTTCTTGAATGAATGAATGTTAATTTTTTTCCTATGGGGGTATTTGTCTTTTTCTTGTTGGTTGAACAACTCTGTAAGAGATATTCAACTTTCATTATAAAGGATGTGCATATTTTCCTCTATTGATATTTATTTGTCTTTTACTTTATCTCATAGAGATTTAAATTTTTATGTAGTTATATCTATCTATCTATCTATCTATCTATCTATCTATCTATCTATTTTATCTTTCATGTCTTCTGTGCCTTGTGTCTTCCTTCTCCAGGATTATAAACATTTTGCTATATAATTTTCTTCTCATCCCATATATTTTTTTCCTTATAGAGCTTTAATTCATCTAGAATTAATTTTTTCAGATGTAACATAGGAATATAACAATTTTTTTCCATATGATAGCTGACAATCTGTATTTTTCTTAACATATCATTTGTATTTTTCCCTGTATTCCTAACCAACATTTTCAAGGGCTGGTCAGTATTCTTTTTTTTCAGGAAAAATATTCCTTTCTTGTTGGGCAATTAAATCAACATTTGTTCATTGCTTATATTTCCTGTAAAGGAACTTAATCTTTATATTCTGCGGAAACAGTTGGCACATAGTGGGAGCAGAAATTGTGGGATAAGTGAATGAAGGAACAGAGATCTATATGCCTGCTCCATGGGGCAGTGATATCCTTGCCGGGCACACTCAGTCCTGGAGGGGAATTCCAGGCTATAAAGTCCGACGACAAAGTGTTCACCGATTTGTGGAGAAACTTAATAAATAAGGACAATTATGCACATACACACACATGTATGGAGAAAAATCACTGTAAGGCTGCCAAGTGTCTTTTCTTGGAAGGATCTTGAAATCTTGGCTTTCTTTTCCTATTGTTCTTATATTACAGTACATTTCATGTTCATGAAACCCAAAAGGCACGGAAACGCTGAACTGTAGTCCTGCTTTCCACCCAGTATGTATTGAACCATCTGTGCGATCACGGCTGTAGGGTGGAAGATTTCGCAGTGAAAAAACCTGCATAGTTTAGCAGGTTAAGTACACTCCTGAAACGATGACGCAATAGGTTACTGCGGGTGAGGAACGTGTGAGGAAGAAGACGGGGTGACAGGTAGATACAAACTGAGACCCAGGGAAGCACAAAGAAAAACCCGCCTGCACACCATCTGCACCCTCACTCGCGCGTCCTCAAACTTGGCCAGAGAATCCGCCTTCAGGGAAGAGGGGTGGGGCGGGGCGGGGCCTTGCCACCTTCGTGTCCCGCCCACCCCGCTGCCACTGGGAAAGGGGGCGGCACGTGAGCGGGGCGGGGCGGGGCGGAACGCGCACGCGGGCGGCTGCGTTTCCGGTCGGAGGCCTATGCTGAGCGCCCCGCGTCCCTGGGGGGCGGCGGCGGAGGCGGCGGAGGCAGCAGGGGGATCCGGAAGTCAACACCATGTCGAGTCTGCACAAGAGCCGGTAAGAGGCCACGGGGCCAACGCGGCTCGGCCACTTCTGGCTAGAACGCGCCTTGGGCGCGCGGATGCGGCCAGACACCGGCAGTGCCCGGGAAGAGGGGCTCGGGGACCCCCTTTTCAGCCTCATTGCCTGTGGGCCTGAGAGGGCACGGAGTGGAGGCACTTCTCCTGCCCCCCACCCCGGGTGTCACCCCTTTTCTCTCTCTCGCCCTTACCCCGGAGCCCTGGGTTCCCCCTCATTCTCCTCCTCATTCAGGGCCTCAATGCCCAGTTCCTCGGGCCCACCCCCTTTCCTTGTCTCCCTCGTTAACCCTCTGCCTCAGCACCCTCCTCTGTCCAAATGCTCTCCATCCCCCGTGCTCGTTTATTGTTAGAAACGTCAGAAAACCTGGATTTTCCCGTCTATCCTCTCTCCCAGGTCAAATCCTACAGGATTGGCTAAAGATTGTTTATTCTTCAGTTTTCCTTCGGGACTGGTTTTTTAAAAACCTTTTGTCCTTGCCTGCAGGCCAGCCCAGAGGTCTTCTAATGCCTGTATTTTTGAGCCTGGAGAGCTGCATGCGGGTTTCACTAGCCGGTTGTCTACGGATCAAATTACTCCTAGTTCCTAGGGTTCACTGAGTTCAGATAGTGGAGCTGTGGGCTGGGCCTGGCCAGGCCAGCAGGAAGTGCCCAATAAATGCCAGCTCACTAAATGTTAGAACGTGTCCGATTTCATGATGCTTGTTTGAGAACCTCTAGACAGGAATACCTCTATGTTTCTGAGCTTTGCTTCAAGGAAGATGTGATCTAAAGATCTGTAGCTCACCAAAGCTGACTTTGATTAGGACCTTGGCTGAGCTTTGCCATTTTTATGTCCTGAAGGGGAGGGAGGAACAGGTTGGAGACTGGTGCTCTAAGAGGGCTTCAGGAGTGGTTGCTAAGCCTGCCATCTTTCAGTTTGGGTGTAATTCATTTGCCTCCTTCCTGTCTTCTAGGATTGCTGATTTCCAGGATGTCCTGAAGGAGCCCACCATTGCCTTGGAAAAGCTTCGCGAACTCAGTTTTAGTGGTAAGAGGCAACTGTTCATTTTCAGCTTTACTAGAGCAGTGTTGTGGCTAGGATAGAGGGGAAGGTACCCAAGGCCATACCTGCTGTTCTGGGGGCCAGCCCGCCTCTTGGGGCTTCTCCAGATCCTGTGGAGCTGAACAACCAGGGACTTTCCTGAGCTTGGAGGGGATTCCTAGAGGAGTGACAGCCACAGTTAGTGACCACGGTTAACTTGCCTGTAGGCCTTACTGTGCTTAACTGTTATTTCAATGATACTCATTACTTCCTTGGAGTAACTGGAGAGGACGGAAGAAGGCAGGAAGAGTGGGGAGGACACTTCTTGAGCTGAATCTTCCCTCCTTCCAGCAAGCTTCCTGTGTTACAGAATTTGGTTCACTGCAGAGTAGTTCCTGGTTTTCTCCTGGCTTGGTGTCAAAACCTACTCAGGCGACAGTGAACTTTGGTTAATGGTGAGAAACTTTCCAGCCTTGAGACACTGGCTTGGTGAAACAGTGCCTCAGCAGTGTTTGACTTTGCCCTCTGGCAAGAGATTTTTTTGCTCATCTTTAAATAAAAAATCTCTGGTTGTTTTTATTTATTTATTTGTTTGGTACATGCCCCTAGTGGGAACCGAACTCGGGACTCTGGTCCAGAGGCCAGCGCTCCAACTGCTGAGCCAAACAGGCCAGGGCTCGGGGTGTTTTTATAACCTCTTGTCACTGCTCTGCCTTTGTAACTTTGTCAGCAAGGAATTCTTGAGTAGCTCCCTGCATCCCCTTGCAGATTCTGGGGTGGGAGCTTTAGCTCCTGTTCAGTATGTCGGGACACCATTGAAACAGCTGCTTTAGCAACATTTCTGACAGTATTAGAGGAGAAGTTTGTCTTTCTGTTCAAGAGTGATATTTAGGCCCTGAAGATCTTGAGGAGTCTGGGAACTGTGCTGAGCTGAAGAATCTGCCCGGCCTCAGGGTAGGCAGTCTGCGGTAGTGGTGAAGAGTTTGGCCTCTAGAATCATATAGACTTGTGTCTGAACCCTTGATGGCTCTTTCTTTTTTTGTTTTTTAATCTTCATCTGAGGATATTTTTCTATTTATCTTCAGCTAGAGTGGGAAGGAGGGGGAGAGAGAAAGAGAGAGGGGGAGAGAGAGAGAAACATTGGTGTGAGAGAGGCACATCGACTGGTTGCCTCCTGCGTGACCCTGACCAGGACTGAGGACAAACCGCAACCGAGGTACATGCCCTCGACCAGAATGGAACTTGCGTCTCTTTGATCTGTGGGCCGACGCTCTAATCACTGAGCCAAACCTGCCAGAGCTTGATGGCTCTTTCTTTACAGATGAGTTTCTTTACTTGTAAGATGAGGACAACTATGCTGATGTTCTCTACTTAGTAGGGTTATAAAGAGGATTAAGTGCAATTAGATCCATAAAGCACAATGCACTCAGTGTTCGTAGCTTAGTTTATATGTCACACCCACTCTTGGAATACCTCCTGTGTGCCATGCTCTGTGCTAGGTACTGGGAATTAAGACAGATGTGGTTCTTGTCTTTCTGGGGCTCCCCCAGTAGTAAGAGTTACACATGTTAAATGAGTACACACATTATGTTACACAATCCGAGTTGTGGTGGGTGCTATGAAGAAGTCACTGAGCCATTATTTATAGTGGGTGACCTGACTGATTGGGAAGAGATGGTGGTTGGTATAGGCCGCTCTGAGGAAGAAAAATCCAGGAGGAGAAAGTGTTATCCTCAAAAGAACATTGCAGACAGAGGGAGCTCTGGGCTAGGGGCAGGGGTCAGGGGTCATAGAGAGAAAGTACACACAGTATCAGCATCTAGTCTAATAACCTTTGTGGCGGAAAATGATTCTTGAAGAAATACTTCTTGCTCACTCTACTCCATGCCAACTGGCTTCGAGGTGGAGGGCTGGGGGGTTCTGGGCCTCTGGCTTAGGGCGTGACCTTTGCCTGCTGTATCCACAGGCATCCCCTGTGAGGGCGGACTGCGGTGCCTCTGCTGGAAGGTGGGTGTGCCTTGGGTGGGCTTCTGCTCTGCTGAGAGTCCCTGGGTTCCTGCATGGGTGCCCCCACCCCCAGCCCCTCTTTCTATTCTGTGTCTTTACTTGCTTTAAAAGCTTTGGGGAAGCTTTTCTGGGAAGTCCTGGGTTTTCAGTTCCTCTTGGTGTCCCCTCCAGGATCCCTTTGGGATGGAACACTTTGTAATGCCAGTGAAGCCCTTTTCGCCTTGGTCCAGACAGTGCAGTGGGAGTGATATGTATTGGGACAGAAAAGGCTATGCTTTGTCCAAAACTATTAGGAGACGTAGTAGTGGAAGCCCAGTATCCCAGTTTCCAGCCTCTTTGAGCACAAAGTCTTATTATGTGGAAGAGTCTGTGTGAGGAAGAGGAAAGGCCTGGTTTGGAGTAAAGGGGGAGGGAGGCAGTGGGGAGGAAAGGGAGGCTCCCCCAGCCTGTGCCTATGTTCTGGGCTTTAGCCTGTCTTGTCTTCTCTGGGCATTATCAGACGTTTTCCTTGAGGCCTGTCCGCCTCTACCTACTGTCCAGGGTTGGGCTGGGGAATCACCAGAGCTGTGTTCCTCTCCCTCTGTGCAGATTCTCTTGAACTACCTCCCATTGGAGAGAGCCTCATGGACCTCCATCCTGGCCAAGCAGAGGTGAGACCCAGAGAGGGGGTGATGTGAGGGTTTTTCTATCAGAAGCGGTGGTTCCAAACCTGTGCTGCCCTCTGTGATGCTCCTGTGTTCTGGACCCCCTGGGCAAGCCCTCTGGGAATCATCCCTCCTCTCTTCTCTCCTGCAGGGAGCTATATTCTCAGTTCCTGAGGGAAATGATTATCCAGCCTGGCATTGCCAAGGCCAACATGGGTGTGTCCAGGGAGGATGTGACCTTTGAGGACCATGTGAGTAGGGGTCAGCAGCGGGAACTGAGGCTACAGAGTGGGGAGGGGTGGGCTTTGGAGTGGGCAGAGTCCTCCCATCCCAGAAGACAGGTACTGCTGGTCTCAGTCCCCTCGGGCCCTTTCGGTGCCTCCTTTCTTTATTTGGCTGCGCAGCCCCATCAGGCTGTTGTCTCTCCCCTCTTCTCCCCAGGCCCAGTCAGGAATATAAGTGACAGCTGAGGCCGGGGAGTGCGTGTGCGCAGCCCTGAGCTGGGTCCTCTGCACGCATTGTCTCCTTTCTTCCTCACCCTGTTCCTTAACGAAGGTTCTGTGATTTGATAGTTGAAGAAAGTCAGAGCAGGGTGGGAATGCCTTTCTGTGGCCTGGAGGAAGTCTCATTTGATCGTCCAGTACTGATCTTCCCCGTGTGCTGTGCAGTATAGAAAGTGCAGATGGATCAAACCCAGGCCTCTCCTCCAAGGATTGCAATTGGCCACTCAGAGCACTGATGAGTTAGATTTGAGGAGACTTCATGATACATTTATTCATCCATTCATTCAGTCAGCAAGCATTTAGTGAGCACATATATATATATATTTTTTTATCCTCACCCGAGGACACTTTTCCATTTTTTGTTCAGATAGAGTGGGTGGGAGAGAGAGGAAGAGAGAGAGAGAGAAACATCGACGTGGAAGGTACACATCGAGTGGCTGCCACCCGCACGATCAACCAGGGCCGGGGACAAACTGCAACCGTGGCATGTGCCCTTAGCGGGAACCGAACCCGGGTCTCTCTGGACCACAGGCCAATGCTCTAACCGCTGAGCCAAACCGGCCAGGGCGTGAGCACATGTTATATGCAGCATTCTAGAGCCAGAGCAGTAGATGGAAAGAACAGTCCTGCCAGGCAGGAGTGGGCTCAGAGTGGACAGCAGGGCTCGGCTGTTCGCTGTGAAGTTCCAATGGGATTTGGGAGGCTTCTCGAGGCCCGTGCTGCTCCTCCAGTAGCTCACAGGCCGTCTCAGCCACAGCTGGGCCTCTGATGGGCCTGTTGGTGTGAGGCCACTGCTCTGGCCTCCAAAATGGTATCTGCCTCTGGGGCCCTGTCCAGGCCTAGGACAGCAACTTATTTTTTCCCCACAGCCACTCAACCCCAACCCTGACAGCCGGTGGAACACATACTTCAAGGACAATGAGGTGCTGCTGCAGATTGACAAAGATGTCCGGTAAGCAGGTCGCTGGGGCTGGCAGTGAGCCCATGGGACTTCTGAGGGGTTTCCCAGTTCTGTCCGTTTCCTTTCCAGCCCAGGCCCACAGGGTTGGTAGGGGTGTGAGGAGCTTTTGGTAGGTGGTCTAAGTAGTTAGGTGCAGGCCACAGTGATGCAGGGCGTGGGAATGGGACTGGTCAGCGCAGTGAGAATGTGGGGGGTATCCTGTGCTTGCCCATGCCTGGCTGTCCTTTTTCCCTGCTTAGTTTCATTTGTGCTGAGCATTTATGGATTCATCTGAGCATTCCTTCAGTAAATGGGTATCGAATGGGACTGCTATATGGCAGTCCTAGTGCCAAGTTCAGGATTGAGCGCTGAACAGACAGACACAGTCCCTCTCCGAAGGGAACCTAGAACCTTGAGGGAAGGTGGGAAGACAGGCGTTCAACAAATTCATTTTGCTAACGTCAGTGCTCTGAAGGGAGTTCAGGGTGTTTCCTGGTGTTCAGGACGCCTTTCCTGAAGAAGCAGTGTTTCAGCTGGGATCTGGGGAGTCGGGCCTGGGGGAGAAGGTAGGGTTAGGCCCTGGTGGGAGGGGTCTACCTGTGGGGAGGCCCTGAAAGCCCATGGAGCTTGGCATATTTAAAGAGCAGCGTGGACTGGCTGGTGTGGCTCAGTGGTTGAGTGTTGACCCATGCACCAAGAGGTCACCAGTTTCATTCCCAGTCAGGGCACATGCCCAGGTTGTGGGCCTGATCCCCAGTGGGGGACATGCAGGAGGCAGTCAATTGATGTTCTTTCGTTGATGTCTCTTTCTGTCTCTCTCCCTCCCCTTCCTCTCTCTCTAAAATCAGTAAAGAAAAATTATTTAAAAAAATAGAAATAAAAAAAATAATAAAGAAAAAAAATTTAAATAAATAAATAAAGATCAGTATGAAGGGCAGTGTGGTTGAAGCTACACTAGAGGGAGACAGGGGTTGGTCCTTGGACTTAATTCCAAGGACATGGGGCAGTGATGGTCAGATATGTGGGTTTGCTCTTCCACTTGGTATAGAAATGTGGAAACGCTGCTATGTTGTCCTGTTGGGTTGGTGAGTGGCAGTGGGTAGACTCCCCCACAGGCTGGTGAGGAACTGGAAGGAAGTCCTTGTCTGCAGTGAAGCAGGGTTGTTAGAGCTTGGCTTCAGTTCCACCTTCCCCCGTTTTAGCTGTGTTTCCAGCCACTCAACACCCCACGTGCTTCTCCTCTGCCTGTGTTCATTGTGCCCAGGCCCATCTTCAGATGGCCTCAGGTGGGACCCAAGCCCAGGGCAGCCTAGCCAGGATGCGGAAGGGGGCTCTCACTTCCTTTGTTTTCAGGCTGGTGTTGGGCAGCCTCTATTCACGAGGGTGTTCACGGTCCTGTTTGAATCGAGAACCATGTCTTGAAGCCCGTTCTGGAGAAACAGGTTCTGTCTTACACTGGTGGTGATTGTAGCCTGTTGTTCAGTGTTTCCAGAGAGCGAGTTTGCAATGTGCCGTGTGTGAGAATTTAAAAAATGTGCATTCCTGCAATACATGTGGTATTTTTTTTTTTTTATCCTCACCGGAGGACATTTTCCCATTTTTTTGTTCAGGTAGAGTGGGAGGGAGAGAGAGGAACAGAGAGAGAGAGAGAAACATCGATATGAAAGGAACACATCGAGTGGCTGACACCCACACGACCGACCAGGGCTGGGGACAAACTGCAACCGAGGTACATACCCTTAGCGGGAACCGAACCCGGGTCTCTCCGGACCCTAGGCCGACGGTTAGACCAGGGCGTTTTTTTTTAATTTTTTCCATGATTGATTTTAGAGAGAGAGGAAGGGAGAGGGAGAGAGAGAAACATCGATGAGAGAGAACATCGATTAGCCACCTCCTGCATGCCCCCCACTGGGGACTGTGCCCACAATCTGGGCATGTGTCCTGACCGGGAATCGAACCGGTGACCTTTTGGTGCATGGGTCGATGCTCAACCACTGAGCCACACCAGTTGGACAATACATGTGTTTTAAACACTTGATCACATTCTCGCCCTGGCCAGTTTGGCTCAGCGGTTAGAGCGTCGGCCTGCGGTCTGGAGAGACCTGGGTTCAGTTCCCGCTAAGGGCACGTACTTCGGTTGCAGTTTGTCCCCGGCCCTGGTTGGTCGTGCGGGTGGCAGCCACTCGATGTGTCCCTTCACGTCGATGTGTCCCTTCATGTCGATGTTTCTGTCTGTCTCTCCCTTCCTCTCTCTCCCTCCCACTCTATCTGTACAAAAAATGGAAAAATATCCTTGGGTGAGGATAAAAAATAAATAAATAAATAAACACTTGATCACATTCTCGAGACAGCCTTCAACTTGCTTTTCCTCTCACTTTGTCTTGGACATTTATTTCCCATGTCAGCTGTATAATATTCTACTGTACAATGTGTAACTTACCCAAAACTCTTTTATCATCGTAAACCACACTGTGGTTAACACTTATACATATTAAATATTATTGACATGGAAAGATGTTTGTAGTTTAAGGGATGAGTTGGATCATAAGATTATAAAGACATTTATAAACGTACACATATGGTCTGGCTGGTGTGGCTCAGTGGTTGAGTGTTGACCTGTACACCAAGAAGTCGCGGGTTTGATTCCTGGTTAGGTCACATGCCCAGGTTGTGGGCCTGTGGGGGGCATGCAGGAGGCGGCCAGTCAGTGTTCTCTCTCATTGATGTTTCTATCTCTCTCTCCCTCTCACTTCCTCTCTCTATAAAATTAAAAAAAAAAATGTTTTAAGTACACGTATGCACGTGTTATCTATCTGTAAATACACATAAGAATATGGGTATGTGTTATAATGACTATATTGCCCCTTAAAAACTATATATAGCCTAGCCCTGGCTAGTTTGGCTCAGCGGTTAGAGCATCGGCCCGCGGACCAGAGAGGCCCAGGTTCAGTTTCCTCTAAGGGCACGCACCTCAGTTGCGGTTTGTCCCCGGCCCCGGTTGGGGTTGTGTGGGTGGCAACCAGTTGATGTGTCTCTCTCATGTCGATGTTTCTCTCTCTTCCTTCCTCTCTCCCTCCCGCTCTATCTGAAGATAAATGCAAAAGGGTTCTCGGGTGAGGATAAAAAACAAAACAAAAAAACAACTATGTGTATTTAAAATGAAACGTTATTAATTTAAAAATAATATCCTTTGGCCGGGCCAGTGTGGCTCAGTGGATTGAGCACCGTCCCATGGACTGAGGGGTCCCGATTTGATCCTGCTCAGGGCACATGCCCGGATGTGGGCTCAATCCCCAGTGGGGGGCATGCAGGAGGCAGCTGTTTGATGTTTCTCCCTCACATTGATGTTTCTATCTCTCTTTTCCTTCCTCTACCTCTAAAAAAAATCCATTAAAAAAAAAATATATATATATATATAAAAAATCTTTTGCGATGCTGGAATATCCAAAGCCTCTATCCTGAGTAACGGTACTGTCTCCTGTTCTCTCTTGACAGGAGGTTGTGCCCAGACATATCCTTCTTCCAGAGGGCCACTGAGTACCCATGCCTCCTCATCCTGGACCCCCAGAATGAGTTTGAGACCCTTCGTAAGCGGGTGGAACAGACGACGCTGAAATCGCAGACAGTGGCCCGGAACCGGAGTGGAGTCACAAATGTGAGAGGCAACCTGGGGCCCCAGGGACTCCCCATGACAGCCTTTTTCTTCCTGCTTCCCTTTGGCCACTGGGCCCGTGTCTTTCTGTCTGGATAGTTACTCAAGGCAACTTTTGATCCTGCCAGGGCTTTTTTGGAAAGTCAGGGATCATGATCAAGGCAGGATGTGCTGGTGGCTGGGGGAGGTCCCTGTTGTGCAGTGAAGGAGCCATGCTGCTATTGTTGTGGAGATGGCTCTTTATTTAGTTAGTTTATGTATAAATTTATCTTTATTGTTGAAAGTATTACAGATGTCCCCTCCCCCGCCACAGATTCCCCTCTACCCCACTCCAGCCCCCCCCCCCCCCCGCCAGATGGCTCTTTAAAAAGTAATTACAAGTGTGATGGGAGCGATGATGGGTGGGGAGCTGACCTGGTCTGGATATCAGGGAAGACTTCCCGAGGAAGTGACATTTTAGCTGAGGCTTGAAGAACTAGGAGGCAAGAGCATTCCAGACGGGGAGGAGCACATATATGGAAGTCCTTCAGCAGGAGAGAGCATGGTGTAATCGAGGAATAGAGGGGTGCAGTGAGGCTAGAGGAGAGGGAAAGGGAGGGAAGGTTGCTGGAGGATGCCGGAGAGGTTGGAAAAGGTGCAGCCACACAGGGCCTTTATCCTGAGGGCTGGGAACCCTTGTAGCATTCTGAGCAGGGCAGTGATGTGATTCGGGTCTGCTCTCGTAAAAGATGGCTGTTGGCGCTGTGGAGAATTGATCGGCAGGGCAGGGATAGAGGTGGAGAATGTGTCTAGGAGGTTGCCGCATTATTCAGGCAGGGGTGGGTAGGGGCTGGGGCTGGGGTGGAGTGAGGATGGATCAGAGAGTCTTAGGAGGTAGAATTGATAGGACTTGTGCTGCCCAGGTAATGCTGTGTTTGAACCCCAGTCTTCTACAGGTTCCTGTAACTCTGTAGCCAAACAAGTGTATAATCTTCTTCTTTTTTTTTTTATCCTCACCCAAGGACATTTTTTGATATTTTGTTCAGATAGAGTGGGAGGGAGGGAGAGAGAGAGAGAGAAATATCGACGTGAAAGGGACACATCGAGTGGTTGCCACCCACACGACCCAACCAGGGCCGGGGACAAACTGCAACTGAGGTATGTGCCCTTAGTGGGAACCGAACCCAGGTCTCTCCAGACCGCAGGCCGACACTCGAACTGCTGAGCCAGAACGGCCAGGGCTAATCTTACTTCTTAACTGATACCTCCTGCTTTGGTTCCTGGAGCTCTGACATCCTCAGAACTTTTCACTGTCCTTCAACAATGGAATCCTCCTTCTCTGAAACCTCCAAAAAGCTAGAGACAGATAATACTGCAGAAGCTTTTTTCCCCGAGTGGAATGACTGGGCAAGGCTCTGTGTCTATCGGAGAACAACCACTTCCCGCAGTGGGTGATGGGCAGTTACAGCTGAACCCAGGGCTCCTTGTGCCTACGAAAGAGCTGGTTGTGCTGGGAGGTGGACGATGATTGGCTAAATGACTGCAGGGATTGCTGTGTGGGTGACCTTACTCGGCTGCTGAAGTCCTGGATGCAGGACTTGGCTTCTGTCATTCATTTCACTAAAGTCATTGGGAGCTGAGAGCCAAGCTCTTACCCATTTTAGGTTTGAACCAGTCCTGAGGGCAGAGCACCTGATCAGAAGCTTCATCCTTAGATTTCTGGGCCTGTGGTGGGGCAGTTTGAGTTAAAGCGGACCATCCGTTTAATTCTGGGCATGTAATACTGGGCTTACCTCCCTAGGCCCCCATCTCCTTTTCTGTAAACTGGGCATAATCATTTCTGCCCTGCCTGACTTTTGAATCGCCAAGAAGATGAAATGAGGTCATGGCTGCGCAGATTCCTGGAAAGCTCTGGACTTTCTCTGAGGCCTGGACCTCAGGTTCTGGAATCAGCCAGTCTGGGGTCAAATCCCAGTGCCACCACTTGATGCGAGACATGATGAGTGACCTGACTTTTCTGAGCCTATGTTTCCTCCTCTTGAAAGTGATGTGAGAGAATATTCTAGGTTGTTCAGAGCATTACGTGGAGGCATGCTTATAAGCACTGCCTTGCCCATAGAGAGCTCTTGGTAAATGTTAGTGGTATGTGTGTGTCTGTGCACATGTACTTGCATAAACACACATGCACGTGTACATATAATGGGAAAGGGAGTTGAATGTCCCCAAGGCCTTGTACTTCCAGGACAGTTTGCTACGCGTCCCTGCCTGAGCTTGCCTGTGGCTCTCATACAGGTTACTCTGGGCATCCGAGTCTACAAAGCTCCCGAAGACCGTGATGGGCAGCTGGTGTTGGGGACCTCTGCTCTACTGCATGAGTTCTAAGCAGGGATATCATCTATTCATCTGCCAACATTTTCTTACGAAAATTTTGAAACATTCAGAAAAGTTGAAAAAAGAATACAGTGTATCCTTATATACTTTCCACCTCAGTTTAACAGTTCATAACATTTTGCCATAATTGTTTTTGTATTACAAAGTATAAGTTGCAGGTGTCTTGCCCCTTCACCCCGAGTATTTCAGCGGGAATCTCCTGAAAATAAGGACATCCTCCTCCTTAACACTAACACATCTAGGAAGATTAACATAGTAACTCCTAACAACCAGGCCACGAGCGTGTGTCCTCAGTTGCGCTAAGAATATTTTTGTTTTTTTACTTCTGAACTAGGACCCAGTCCTGGTTTCTGTGTTGCATTGGGATGCTGTGTTTCTTTAGTCTCTTGATCTGAAGCAGGCCTTCACTCTCGCCCAGCTTCCCCCAACATTTCACTTTTTTAAAAAAATCCTTACCCAAGGACATTCTTGTATTTATCCTTAGACAGAGCGGGAGGGAGAGAGGGAGGAAGAGAGAGAGAAACATTGATGTGAGAGAGACACATTGACTGGTTGCCACCCACACGACCCCGACTGGGCCAGGGACAAACTGCAACAGAGGTATGTGCCCTTAGCAGGAACTGAACCCAGGACTCTCTGGTCTGCGGGCCGATGCTCTAAATGCTGAGCCAAACCGGCCAGGGCAACATTTCACTTTTTGAAGACTCTTAGCCAATTGTCTGTTTTTGACATACTTAAAGTTTTGTTTTCTAAATTGAAGTGTAACTTACATGCAATAAAATGCACAAATCTTAGGTATACAGATAGATGAACTTTTTCGTGTGTGTGTGTACACACCTGTGTAACTGCCAACAAAACAAGACACGGTGTTTCTATCATCCAGTCAGTACCACTCTCTGCACACGAAGCACTGTTCTGGCTTTTGTCATTGTAAATTAGATTTTAGTCCACCTGTCTAATGGAATGTGCCACATTCTGGATTTGTCTGCTTGTTTCCTCCTGGTGGTGTTGGACATGTTCCTCTATGCTCTGTATTTCCCATAAGCTCGCGGTCGAGTTTAGGCTTAATGCTAGACATTAAGAGGACATATTGGTCAGAACATAATGTCCATAATGCTACCCATCGTCTTAATGGGCTCCTCCTCTTCTCCCCCAGATGAGCTCCCCGCACAAGACCTCAGCGCAGTCATCCCTGAATGAGTACGAGGTGCTGCCCAATGGCTGTGAGGCCCACTGGGAAGTGGTGGAGCGCATCCTGTTCATCTATGCCAAGCTCAACCCTGGCATTGCTTATGTGCAGGGCATGAATGAGATCGTGGGGCCCCTCTATTATACCTTTGCCACCGATCCCAACAACGAGTGGAAAGGTAAAAGGGCTCTTGGCTGCCCACACCCCTTGTTGCCGCTCCCTAAGAAAATGGACCAAGGAAAGCCAGGCTAATGGGCTGTAGCGGGCTCTGCAGCTCATGTCCCCTATCTGGGCCCCCATTTTCCCTCTGTGAGATAAGGGGGTTGGCCTGGGTCCTCCTTGAGATCCATTCCGACTTAGGCTTTCTGGAATGTTGGAAGTATACTGATCTTTTCCTATTTGTAACTGAATTTCTGATAGGGGAGTTAAGATGTGTATACAGGAAGCTGAGTGATTGTAAGAATTTAAATAAATAATGATTTGAAAATGTCGTCAGAAGAGCATGTAATCAGTTGCTAACGAGAGTACAGTGTTGCCAGAAGATGTGAGAAAAAAAGAGATGATGTCCTTAGTCTGGGGGTGGAGAGTGGTCAAGGAGAGAAGGTACTGAGCCTGATCATGGGGGTGCAGTGACGTGGTGAGACTCGGGTGAAGGGAGTATCCAGCGTAGGTGAGAGTTGGGGTGGGACTTGGGCGGGCACCAGCTCCCTGTTGGCTCCCCTCACCATGCCTGTTTTCCCCAGAGCACGCCGAGGCAGATACCTTCTTTTGCTTTACCAACCTCATGGCCGAGATCCGGGACAACTTCATCAAGAGCCTGGATGACTCACAATGTGGCATCACTTACAAGATGGAAAAGGTGTACTCCACCTTGAAGGATAAGGACGTGGAACTCTACCTGAAACTGGTGAGGACCCCTCCCCGCCCAGGACCACGTGGGCCAGAGTAGGCAGATGAAAGGGTCAGAGGACAGCAGACTTACTGAGTGTCCCCGATGCAGGACAAGCTCTGGCTGAGCCTGGGGATTGCAGTGGCTGCTGCCAGGGAGCACTGAGAGCAGGCGGCAGGTGCTGCGAGTCTGGGCAGCTGGCAGTGAGGGGAGTTGATGTGCCCACACAGTGCGAGTCATTCCCGCCCACGGAATTAGCTCAGCCTGAGAAGAGAAAGGTGAACTTCAGTTAGAAAGTTAAGAAGAATGCACATATGCACAGCCAGTCGACACAGACACTAGGCTGGGGAAGGTAGGAGGGGGTGGGAACATTAAGGAGGGAGTCAACGGGGATAAAAGGGGGACATCTGTAATACTTTCAAAAATAAAAAAAAGAGTTAAGAGTAATTTTTTTTTTTTGGTTAATCCTCACCCGAGGATACTTTTCCATTTATTTTATTTTATTTTTTAGATAGAGTGGAAGGTAGGGAGAGAAGGAGAGAGAGAGACATATTGATTGGTTGCCTCCTGCACAACCCTAACTGGAGCTGGGGATCGAACCTGCAACCCAGCTGCATACCCTTTGACCAGGCATCGAACCAGCAACCCTACAGTCCATGAGACGAGGCTCAATCCACGGAGCCACACCAGCTGGGCAAGAATAATTTTAAAAAATTACTGTAGTGGCCTTGGCTGGTTTGGTTCAGCACATCAGCCTGCGGACCTAAGGATCTTGGGTTCAATTCCAGATAAAGGGAACATGCCTGGGTTGCAAGTTCAATCCCCTGTCCCAGTCTGGGTCATTCAGGAAGCAACCAATCGATGTGTCTCTCTCATGTCAGTGTTTCTTTCTCCTGCCCTCTCTCCCTCACTTCCACTCTATCTGAAAATCAATGGAAAAATATCCTTGTGTGAAGATTTAACAACAACAACAAATTACTGTAGTGGTATTCCATGTTTATTTCAGACAACAGTTCAGTAAAAAGAAGTTATATGTAAATAGAAATAATTTTGGGAATAAGAAAATTTATATAAAGATCTTTTTAAACAAATATGGAGTTAGTTTTTGCAGTTTTTAAATTTTTAAAATTTATTTTTATTAATTTGAGAGAGAGAAACATTAATTTGCTGCTCCACTTATTTATGCATTCATTGGTTGACTCTTGTATGTGCCCTGACAGGGGATCAGACCTATAACTTTGGCATATTGGGTCCCAGCCAGGGCTGCTGTTTTGTGTTTTTTTTGTTTGATTTTTTTTTTTTTTAATCCTTACCTGAGGACATTCTTCCATATTTTATTCAGATAGAGTAGCAGGGAGAGAGAGAGAGAAGCATCAATGTGAAAGACACTTTGCGAAAGAGATACATCGAGTGGCTGCCACCCACACGACCCAACAAGGGCCGGGGACAAACTGCAACCAAGGTACATGCCCTTAGCGAACCAAACCCGGGTCTCCCGGGTCTCTCTGGACCGCAGGCCAACGCTCTAACCGCTGAGCAAAACTGGCCAGGGCTGCTGTTTTTTTCGCCTTTTTTTTTTTTTAATTGTACTGTTTTCTTTCTTTTTATTTATTTTTTCTTTATTGATTTTTGAGAGGAAGGGAGATGGAGAAAGAGAGATAGAAACATTGATGAGAGAGAACATCAATTGGCCGCCTCCTGCATGCCCCCCACTGGGGATCAGGCCCACAACCCAGGCAAGTGCCCTGACTGGGAATCAAATTGGTGACCTCTTGGTGCATGGGTCCACACTCAAACCACTGAGCCACACCTGTCAGGCTAGGGCTGCTGTTTTGTAACATGCTTTTTCAGTTAGTAATAGTCATTGTGGTTGAACAGAGGGCTCATCTCTGCTGGGAATAATTGGCCTGTATGGAGTTAATAAGTGAGATAATATATTTAACATGCTAAGCACAAGGCCAGGCCTTGTAGAAGTGCTCAGTTAATGATCTCTGTCTATAATCTGAATAGTGTTTTAAAAGAATCTGAGCTGCCATTTATAAATTTAGAGAGTTTATATAAGTTTGGGTTTATGGCTTCTCTTTTTTAAAAAAATCAGGAGCCCTGGCTTGTTTTGCTCAGTGGTTAGAGCATCGGCCTGTGGACCAAAGAGTTCGGGTTCGATTCCAGTCGAGGGCACATACCTCAGTTGTGGTTCAGTCCCTGGCCCTGGTTGGGGTCGTGCGGGAGGCAACCAATTGATGTGTCCTTCTCCCATCGATGTTTCTCTCTCTCTCTCCCTCCCACTCTATTTAAAAATAAAATGTAAAAAAAATAGATCTGACAACATTGGCTGGCAGCAAGCAGCAGCTGCCCCTTTAACTAAGTGAGGCTTTCTAGGCAGCCCAGTGCCACCCCCACCTAGTGTGCCTGAACTCATCCCTGGCCTGCTGCTGCCTCGGTGAGGTCCTAGGCACTGCTGTGTGTCTGAATTCACATTTAAAGACTGCATGGTGTCACATGGCAACCAGCCAACATGGATTCTTGCACCTACCCCACGCTGCTGTCTCCCCAGCAAGAGCAGAACATCAAGCCCCAGTTCTTCGCCTTCCGCTGGCTGACACTGTTGCTGTCCCAGGAGTTCTTGCTGCCTGACGTCATTCGTATCTGGGACTCCCTCTTTGCTGATGACAGCCGCTTTGACTTCCTCCTCCTTGTGTGCTGTGCCATGCTCATGTGAGTGGCCATGAGCAGAGGTGTGGGCGGGACCGCTCCATCAGGCTGGAGGGAGCCGCTGGGATCCTTGGGCGAACGTTAGGGGTGGTGAGGAAGGGGCGGGAAGGGGCCCAGCGGGGCCTGCCCTCAGAGCAGCCCAGGTCCCAGCGCTTTGCTGCTTGTCTCCTTAGATTGATCCGGGAGCAGTTGCTGGAAGGGGACTTCACTGTAAACATGCGGCTCCTTCAGGTAATGAGTTTGGAGGCGCGAGCTCAGTCATAGCCATGAGGCAGCCACCCCATTCCAGCTGCTGCGACACACTGGGGTCAGAACAGCAGAATGTAGCAGGGCTTGAGTCTAGACCCCCGAGGCACACCTGGGTTTGAATGGGTTTGGATCCCAGTTTTGCCACTGAGCTTGAGTGTAGTGTGGCCTTGAGTGAACGAGTTGGCCTCTCTGAACCAGGTGCTCTACCTAAGCTAGTTGTACCTGGGATACAGTAGTGCCCAGTAGTGGTAACGTTCACTGGTAGTCATGCCCAGTTCTAGAGCAGGAAAGTGTGGGGCTGAGTGGTTGAGAGCATGGCTCAAGGGCCAGACAGCATTAGGTTCATCTTGTTCTCTGTGCTAGTCGTGTGACCTGAGCCAAGTGACAAGCTCTCTAGGCTGCAGTTTCTTCACCGACACCTGGGGTTGGTTTTCGACAACTTGGTTGAGTAGATTTGTAAAACGGGCTAATCATTGTAACCCCCTCATTGGGCTTTTGAGGTGCCCCTGTGAGCTAGTGTATGGACAGTGTCCAGTACAGTGCAGGTGGGGGCAGGTAGGGCAGAATGGTCCTGGTCCTAAGGAACGGCTGAGACCCTTGGGTGGTGCTGGTTACCTTGGTGCTGCAGTGAGTGTCATGTTGGCTACATGTGTGTATGGGGAGGGTTATAACCTGTGGCCCCTACCTCTGGGGCCCAAGATCCATCATGGTGATAGGTCCCCATGGGAAGGGCACAGGTGTGGCAGAAGCGGTGAAGGTTGAGTTGACTTCAGAGGTATCTTGTTGGCCTTTCCCGTGCCCAGGATTACCCCATCACAGACGTCTGCCAGATCCTACAGAAAGCCAAGGAACTCCAAGACTCAAAGTAGCCTGGCAGCAAAAGGCCCAGGTTGGGGAGAGAAGCCACCACTGGTCCCTGTGCCCTGCCTTCTGGGACACGAAGAAGTCTGTGGGACCCCAGCCCGAGGGGAAGCTGCAGGACTGGTCCGCTCCAGGCCTTCTCACCCTAGGCCGCTCCCACTGGGGGCACACTGTGCCATGCTCCTTCCCGACCACCGAGCCCTGGCTCCCTCTCCGCTCTTCGGTCCTGGGACCCTTTCCCCAGGCTGCTGAGCAAGGCCGGAGCTCCTGAAGTTGTTTCCCGCGGCTGGGGTGGATGGGGGGCACTGGGAGCTGGCCAAGGTCCCTCCCTGCCTCCGCTCTGCTGCTCCTCTCTGCTCTGGTCTGGAGGTGCTGGGCAAGTGGGCCAGAAGCCACGTCCGGGGTTGGTGCTTAGGCTTCTCCATGGGGAAGGTGGCACTGAGGGAGCTAAGCTGCTGCCAGGCCCAGGCCACACCCTCTGTCCGTGTGTGTGTGTGTGTGTGTGTGTGTGTGTGTGTGTGTGTGTGTAGGTGTAGTTGTGGGTTGATGTGTATGTGTCTCTTGATCCTTCAGGTGTCTGTCTCCATTTGTGTGTCTCAGTGTGGATGTTAGGGAGGGAGGGTGTCTCTGAATCCCTCTAGGTCTCTGCTTCTCTGTCTTCCTCTCTTCTCCCTTCACCTCTTTCACAGAGGCTGTGTGATTCTTTCTTTTTTTAATCCTCACCTGAGGACATTTTTCCATTTTTTGTTCAGATAGAGTGGGAGAGGGAGAGAGAGAGAGAGAGAGAGAAACATCGATGTGAAAGGGACACATCGAGTGGCTGCCTCCCACATAGCACTGACCCAACCAGGGCCGGGGACAAACTGCAACCGAGGTACGTGCCCTTAGTGGGAACTGAACCTGGGTCTCTCTGGACCACAGGCCGACGCTCTAACCGCTGAGCCAAACTGGCCAGGGCTGTGTGATTCTTTCTTTGCTCCTCAACATAGCTCTCCCTCTGCCCTTCTCTCTTGGGGTGCCTTATCCCCAGCCTCTTCCCTCATTCCTCCCCAAACGGGCCAGGGCCGTGTGATTCTTTGCTCCTCAACATAGCTCTCCCTCTGCCCTTCTCTCTTGGGGTGCCTTATCCCCAGCCTCTTCCCTCACTCCTCCCCTCCATGCCTGTGAAACCCAGAGACAGAAGGAGTGTGGCTCAGCAAAGCCCCTGGGAGTCAACCTTAGCCTTTTCACCGTTTCCACCCCCAGGCCTAGGCTCCCAGGTCCCTCAGCCTGGGAGGGAGTCCACAGTGCCTCACTGGAAGGCCCTGAACCTGCCCCTCCCCCTCCCTGAAATCTTGGAAACCAAAAGCTGCTGAGAAACAATGGCCCATAAAGCTTTGAGCCTCTTACCCTCCTTTCTGCCCAGGGGTAGAGGAGGAGAAGAGGGCGAGGTAAGTCTGGAGATTTCCCCAAAGGAAAAGGACATTAAGGCAGTGCTGTATCAGAGTTTGGGATCCAAGTGCTTCAGAAGAGTAGTCATCCCCATGGCTTTCAAGGCCATCCCAGGGAGGGTGAGTCCCATGAAGGGTAAATGGGACCAAAGGGAGCCTCCCTGGGCCAGGTGGAGCTGAGCGCAGAGGCCCTGGATCCTATCAGGACCAGGGAAGTCCTGTGGCCTCTGGGCAAGCCGAAGGAAGTGCTGGCCCTTCTCTGGTCACACACTTGGGCTGTTCCCAGGATTCGGGGCAGGTGTACTTAGAGCAGGAGCTGTTGGCTCTTCCCACAGCTGGCAGTGGGAGGAGGGGCTCGCTCTGATCAAGTCCCCTTCCTCCTTTTGTAAGGAGGCAGGTGGTTTGGGTCTGGAAGGCTGGGTAATGGAGCAAGTCTTCATCCTCTCCAGACTGGCTCACAGGTACCCTGTTGCTCCCAAAGCCTTCCTGTATCTGGAAGTCAGGACTTCTGCCCACATAAGCCAGGCTATGGGCCAGGAACAGCTTTCCCCAGATGGCTCCTCTCTGTCCCTTGGATGCTGCTGGAACTTTCTGCACACACCCTTTTGCCACCACCTCTCGTAACAGTTTTTGGGAGATTTTTACTATTTATTCAAACTCCTGGTTATTTATTGTAGATTGGCAAGTGCTTGGTTTAGGGATGAGGGTGGGGGCTGAGAAGATAGAAAAGAGTTGGAAGCATGCTCTTCCTGAGGTCAGACTCAGTATCCTCTCCCTCTGCCTCTGGAACCTCCCTGGTTCTCCAGCGCGTCCTGTCTGGGAGTGCTCTGAGTTCTGTACTGGAACTGAATGTAAGGAAGACTCCAAGACTCCTGCATGGGACAGAGATACTCTGCTTTCCACCGGCCTGGCCCACCTTCCCAGAACTTGTTGCAACTTTAACCCCGTTCACAGTCAGAGACTTGGGCCACAGCCTGGGACCCAGCAAACTGCCCAGGGCACCTGATGCATTCCCTCTTGCCTGTCCCCTTGTCTTCCCTTCTGGGGCAATATTACTTGAATCACTGCATCTAATTTGTCTCAGCAGCAGGCCTGAGTCCAGTGCCCTCTCCTTGACTTTGGAATGGTCAGGAGCATAAGGGACCATGTCCAGGTTTGGCTGAGGAAAGGATCTGCCCTCGGCGATTCCCCTCCCCAAACTCTCAAGGGAGGTTCGCACACAGCCAGAGTGCCCAAGCTTCCTGCTTGGGAGCTGCCCCTAGGAATTTGGACACTTAGCCGATTGGGCTGTATGCATTCAGCACATCTCACTCCGGAGGGTCAGAATGTTAGTCTGCTTTTGTTTTATGGGTTTTTTAAAAAAATCAGTTTTGTTTCTTGAATCAATGTTGTCGATGACAAATTGTCTTTAATAAATCATGTGTTCTTTGCAATGGGCACTGGTGCTGTAATGGGCTGAAACCTCTGAGACCCCAGAGCAGGAAAAAGAAGTTTGAGCAGGGATGAATTGAGCAGAATTGTCTGAGGAAAGGCCAGGAGATTCTTGCTGGAAGAGCCTGTTGAACTCTTACTCAGCCATGCAAGTTGCAGCTTCAGGGAGGAGGGAGTGTGGACCGGGGGACAAGGTATTACATTATGGTTTCACAGCAAGTTATTTTTAGATTGAAAAACTATGAAAACTAAAAAACATGTAAATAAAACAAGTCATTCTTACCCCACAACCGGGAGAAAATCACTGGCAATACGTTAGTCTTCTTCGTTAGTCTTCTTCGCAGATGTAATTTCTGTTACATAATTGCCCCCCCCCCAAGCAAACGAATACTTTTATTAACATGGTAATTTTTTAAACACATAGTAGGGTTTTGACCTCAAATATTTGTCAGGTCTGCTACTCAAATGAACTTAAGGCTGGACAATTTATGAACCTTAAACATACAGACCTCTTTCCACTTTAGGATCCAATGCTAACGGTCCTTGCTTTCCTTCCCCTGCCCCTCAAAGGCCTTTGCAAACAACACTCATTTTATGCCCAGAAACCCCTGAAATGCATAATTGTTTTGATATATACTTTTGTGTATTGGCAACCCCCACATTAGATGGTGAGCAACTTGCTGTATGGCTTAAATTTTTTTATAGGCTATATACTATTCTAATATGCTGGCAATGTTGGAAACCAGTCTCTATTCCTGTAAGTTTACTATAGTGCTTAGAGGGAGTTCCTGTTTGAAATCCCTGCATTCCAATTTGCTTCCCCAGCTCAATCCTCTAAGTAGGTTTAAAGGTAAACACCCTTTGAAGGCTTTACATAGATACTGTCAAGCTGCTTTCTGGAATGTTAACCAGCTTCTGTTCCAAACAGCAGAGACTATAGGCAGCCTGCATCCTTGTTCTCTGGGTGTTAAGAAGGCCTTGGCCTTAGAACTTTTGGCTTATGGTGTAATGGTTAGGAGAATAGACCCTGGTGTCCTGTCCTCGTGCTGCCAACTGGGAGCTCTTTCAAGGATTAAATGAAGTGATGGAAGCGCTTTAGACTAGTGCTGACCAGGCACTCAAAGTGGGAACTGCAGGCGCAGGCGCAGCGGAGGGGGCGGTCCCTCTTGGAGACCCGTAAGGAGGCGGAGAAGCGTGGAGCCGGCCCTGGGGCGGCCAATCACAAACAGGCTCCGGTGCCGCGCCCCTCTGGTCCGCATCTTAAAGGGCAAAGAAGGGGCGCCAGGCCGTCCACTCGCAGCTGGTGTCAGCCCCGTCTTATACAGTCCGAAGCCCTTGCGAGCCTTTGTGGGTGGAGGGGACATTCCACCCGCTCGCGCCCCTCCCCGGCCCATCCCCGCGGTGGGCCCCGCAAGCCGGCGCGGCCCCTTTAAGAGCCTCGCAGGTCGGACGCCGGAGGTCGCGGCGTTCTCTCGGCGCCTCGGGCCGCCCTCCATTTGCGCTGCAGTCGCGCTGCCTGCCATGCGGGCGCTGCGGGCTGGCCTGACGCTGGCGCTGGGCGCCGGGCTGGGTGCGGCTGCCGAGGGCTGGCGGCGGCGCCGGGCAGATGCACGGCCGGCGCCAGGGCTGCTGGGCCGGCTGCCGGTGCTGCCCGTGGCCGCGGCGGCCGGACTGCCCGCCGTGCCTGCCTTACCCGGGGCCCCGGCAGGCGGAGGCTCCGGCGAGCTGGCTAAGTATGGGCTGCCGGGGCTGGCGCAGCTCAAGAGCCGCGAGTCGTACGTGCTGTGCTACGACCCGCGCACTCGCGGCGCGCTCTGGGTGGTGGAGCAGCTGCGGCCCGAGCGGCTTCGCGGCGACGGCGACCGCCGCTCCTGCGACTTCCGCGAGGACGAGTCGGTGCATGCGTACCACCGCGCCACCAACGCCGACTACCGCGGCAGCGGCTTCGACCGCGGCCACTTGGCCGCCGCTGCCAACCACCGCTGGAGCCAGAAAGCCATGGATGACACCTTCTACCTGAGCAACGTCGCGCCCCAGGTAGCGTCCGCGCCCCCGGCCCGGCGACCTAAGGCGAAGCCAGCCCCCGGGAGGCTGCCGGGGGCGCGAGCTAGGTCAGGTGCTTGCTTATCCACGCCCACCCCCAGGCTGCAGGAACGGAGCACTGGGCGCTGAGCATCCGCTCCGGTCTGACCCCAGGGCCCTCGTCTGTAAAATGAGGATGTTACTGCTATTCACCTACTTTTTGCAGTAGTGCTGAGTAACTGTAGACTCCGTGCATATAAAAGTACGGAGCACATTTCCTGGCCCATGGCGAACATTAAATAAATAAATGAGGTTTAGAGAGGCAGTGACTGGCCCATGTCACATCAGGAAGAGACCCAGGCAGTCTGCCTAAAAGACCCTGAGCTTTCAGCCATTGTCCTACCCAGTCTGCCTTCCAGGAGTAAAGAGACGCCTGGCTGGCAGTCAGCTGTTAGGAGCAGTCACTGTGCACTCTGAGCAAGCCGCCCTGTCCCCACAAGGACCAGGCACCCACTGGACGAAGACCGATGTGGTGTCTGGGCCTCTGACCGGACTTCTGCTCTCCCAGTGGTAGTCCCCTACCCATTGTACTACATTGTACTGAGGACTGGAGCGGTCAAGTGAATTGGGAGATGCCTGACGGTCCCAGCTGGGCTCTGTATGTGGTTTAAAGTGGGATAAGGACAGGTTGGAAGAGCTGGCCTTCCCATGAGCCACTGGGGACAGGCTGGCCTGTTTCTCCGAAAGGGGGGTGGGGGATAGATGTGTCCCTTTCCGTAAGTGTGGCTCTTTGGAACTGAGAAAGGGCCTTGAGATCTGGGACCCTAGTCCCTCCATTCTAGATCGGACGGCCAGCACCCTCCTGAGCTCTTTCTGGGCTCCACACTCATGCCAGGTGGCCTAAAGGAGTACTTTCATTCCTTGAACCAGTTTCTTCTGCATGCTTTTCCCTTCCACCCTGCTGGAATCCCCAGGCTTGGTGCCAGTGCCTACCCCTCAGGGTTCAGAATAGCCCCTCTGAGGGGAAAAGGTCCCAGCCAGTCTCTCTGAGTCCCCTCTCTTACCAGGTGCCCCACCTCAACCAGAATGCCTGGAACAACCTGGAGAAGTACAGCCGGAGCTTGACCCGCACCTACCAAAATGTCTATGTCTGCACAGGGCCGCTCTTCCTGCCCAAGTAAGGCTGGACCTAGTGGGGGGAGGGGGGTGGCTGGGGATACCAGGATCTCCCACTTACCCCATCCAGGTTTGTCCCAGGCTCTGGGTCAGCACTGCCAGGTCACTAGTCATCTGGTTTCTTAGCAAGCCTGTCCATTCCCTGCCTCAGACTCCTGAATTCACTTCTACAGCCAGAGACCTTCAAGGGACCCACCCAGACCATGTCTCCTCTGTCCATGGGCACCAGGCCCTGCATCTGCCCTTGCTCCTCTCCTGTATCACTTCTTGCCACACTCACCCGACCAACCCTGTATTCTGCCTAGACAAGAGACCCCTGTACCAGGCTCTTGCCCTGTGTCTCTGGAGCAGCCTTTCCGCACCTCCAGACTTCACTCTTGTTCCTCTGCAGCCTGCCTCCCAGGGAGAAGGGACTGAGCATCTTCTGGTATGCTCAGTGATCTCTCTAGCCCACTGAAGACCGGATGAGTGATGCCGCAGTTTGTAGGGAAGCAGCAGGCTCTGGAATCTACAGGCTGATGGGATCCAGGCCCTATCACCTAGTCTCCAGGTGCCATGGGCAAATGACCTCAACATCCTCTCCCATGAAAAGGGGATACTTGTTACCTACATTGTGGTTGTTTAGGGGACAAAGTGGGACAGTGGACATCACCATAATAAGGGCTCAGCATGGACTAACCAAGGCACTGAGAAACTTTAATAAGGCACTAAGGCTTGCTGTAGTGGAGTACTCTGCTGAGGGTTAGACTGGAAGGCACCCACAGGACAGCGTTCTGGGCACCAGCTCTGCACCCTGTCCTGTGCTGGCGCTGGCAATGCAGCCGTCACAGCCTGGCCCGCTTGGAGTTCACCCCCCACAGGGAGAGACAGGCAGTCATCAGGTGTCTGCGGGGATGAATGTAGGTACAGAGGCTGGATTCTTTCAGCAGCGTTTATTGCCACTGCTCACCCTGCCTGACCCAGGGGTGGGCATGAGGACAACAGGTTAAGAGTGAGTCTACCTTGCAGGAAGCTCCCAGTCTGCGGGGGAGCACAGAAGCCTCACAAGGGGGTGTTCCTACAGCTTGACACAATTTGGGGGTCAGGTCAAGGAACACTTCCTGGAGGCAGCAGCCCAGGGTCTAACCAGACTCCCTGGGAGCCCTGAAAGGCCACGTGTGCCTGGGTTTGCCTGCAGGACAGAGGCTGATGGGAAGTCCTACGTGAAGTACCAGGTAATCGGCAAGAACCACGTGGCCGTGCCCACCCACTTCTTCAAAGTGCTGATCCTGGAGGCAGCAGGCGGGCAAATCGAACTCCGCTCCTATGTGATGCCCAACGCCCCCGTGGACGAGGCAATCCCGCTGGAGCGCTTCCTGGTGCCCATCGAGAGCATTGAGCGGGCCTCGGGGCTGCTCTTTGTGCCGAATATCCTGGCAAGGGCAGGCAGCCTCAAGGCCATCACTGCGGGTAGCAGGTGAGGGCAGTAGCCCAGCCAGACTGAGGGTGTGGGGGCTGGGTAACATTAAAGGTGGTTATTTTTTGGAGAAAGTCTTGGCTGTGTTTGTCCCCGGTGACCCTCAGGAACCTCTGGCTTCACCACTGCCTCTTCACGCTCGTGTCCGACAGAGCCTTCAGCTGTGCTGGCTCCCCCCGCCTGGGTGAGGCCTGGCTGCAGGGCGGCCAGGGAGATGAGGACGGCTTCCTGGAAGAGAAGCGCAGCGATGGGTGGGGCCCGGGGCTGGCGGGTGCCCCGGCTCCCATGTCTTCAGTGCCTGGCTGCCCAGGACCCAGTCCCTTGGGGTCTTGTGCCTTCAGCAGGGCCCTGAGGAGGTTAAGGTCATCCTGCCAATCTGCCACTAGCTGGCTGCATGCCCTGCCATGGAGGGGCCTCACCTCCCTTCTCTAGTCTCCCTCTCTGTAAAAGGGGAATGATAGTAATAATACCTGCCTCCCAGGGTCAGACTTTGTATAGTCGGCCCTCGTTTATCGTGGTTAATCAGTTCCAGACTCTACTGCGATAAATAATTTCCGTGAAGTAGGATTCTTTATTTATACACAGTCGTCCCTCGCCACTTCGCGTTCCGACTTTCGCGGCTTCACTCTATCGCGTTTTTTTCCAAGTAGAGCAAAGCCACAAAAGTCAAAGTGCGAAGTGGCGAGGGACGACTGTGCAGGTATTGGAAGGGGGCTGGGGTTTCTGCTGGGAGGGTGCGGTGGCAGCTTGCAGCACCTGGCCCATGCAGGGTCCTTGGGGACAGGTGGACTGTTAGTCACCACCCTTTGAGACTGGCGGAGCGATGGAGCATCCCCAGCAGTCCACAGGTATGGTATTCTGTGCTGAGTTTAGAAGTGGGGCCCCAGGCTCTGTGGATGCCCAGGACGAAGGCTCTCAGCTAGCCATATCCTGTCCCCCACGGAGAGGGCTGCTCTGTCCACCACCATGGTCACACGTGAGGATGAGGAACACTGAGCATACAGTGAAAATGGACGCCCAGAGCAGGGGTGGGTGGGCTTTCCTGGGTCACCCAGCTTGGGAGCAGCTGGATGGGCACCCAGCTCCTGACTCCCAGCTCACTCATATCCTGTCCCTGCCACAAGTCTGCAGTGGTGTGAGGCTGAGGGTGAGGAGAACATCTCCAGAGAAGGCTGGCTCAGGGCAGCCTTGGGCAGAGCAGGTGACAGGGAAAGTTGCAATCCCCCTCGGACAGACGCCAAGACCCGGCCGGGGCTGAACCGTGAGAACAGCCTGGGGCTGGAAGCAGGGCAGGTAGGCAGGCTCACCTCTGTTCGGATGGTGCGGCTGCCCTGGCCGGGGCAGGTGTTCACATACAGGTCGAAGAGGACACTGGGTTCAGCCACCTCCAGGTTGGGGTCAGCATTCACTCCGGCTTCTAGCCCCTGGAGGCCCCCGAACACCACAAGAGCATGCCTGGCACCCACAGCGGGGAGATCACTAACTGCGCAAGGCCACGTTGAAAGCAGCCCCCCCCACTCGCAGCCCTACAACACAGCAGGGGCCCAGTCTATAGTTTTGCCCCCACCAGACTGGTCCGTCCTCTGCTCCATTCATCCTCCCCTGGCCCCTGCTTCAGGTTGCACCCACCTGAAGCTGGGAAGCTGGGCAGAAGCCACATCTGAGCCTCGCTCTGATGTCCCGATGGTCAGGTCATACCCATCCTGGAAGGGGGCCTCAGCAAACACAGCACCTGGGGGTGAGGTCAGTTTAGGTAGGCATCCTACCTTCCACAAGCCACAGCTGCTTGGCTGAGTATGTGTATACTGGGTGGGTGTGGAGAAGGGGACTCAGGTAAGGGAGTCACACCTAGGCCCTCCACTGTTCCTGGGAAGTCAGGACTGATCAGGAAGAGATCACACCCACGTTAGACTGTGGAAGCAAAGCAGACGGTGGGTAGGAAGGAGCTTTGAGAACACATACCGCACCTTGACTTCTCAGGTCCTTTTGCTCCCATCACCAACCCACACAGACATTATTAACTGATCATGGTACTTTTCCTCTGAAGTCTTTAATAGCATCCAGAGCACTGAGGGAGACCAAGGCCCAGAGCAGGAAAGGCAGTTGTCCAAGGACACAGAGCAAGTTGGCAGGACAAGGACTCTGGTCAGACTTTTGGGTCAAGCAAGGCTCTGTGGCCGCCACAAAGGGAGAGGAGGAGGAACTCTGTCCTTACTAAGGCAGGAGGCCAGCCGGACTGTGTAGCCCCAGTAGAGACCAGCTCTGGTGCGCGGGTCCTGAGACGACACAACTTTTCCACGGTAGGTCTTGCTTTCTGGAGGGGAGGCAAGGGGGCTGTGAAGATGGGGTGAGGGGACAAGGAGGTGGAAGGGAAGGCTCTGAGCCCTCAGGCTGACCTGGCTGGGGAAGCATTCAGACCTGGGAGCTGCTTGTGGTTCAGTCGCACAGTCACCCGAAGTCCAGGTTCCAAGTTCTTGTCGATCTTCACCTCCTAGGGAAAAGCCAGAAATGGCTGCAATTCCCCCACAGGACCAGCAGAGGTCACTACTCTCTAGTTGTGGGGAAATCTGGGTAGTTTGCAAGGGACCTAAGGGGTCCAGGTCAACCTTTGCCCCCATACCTGGGCCATACCATTCCTGCAAAATGACTATCACAAGACACTGGTCTGCCCTGGGTGGTTTGGCTCAGCGATTAGAGCATCGGCCCTTGGACCAAAGGATCATGGGTTCAATTTCCAGTCAAGGGGACGTACCTGGGTTGCAGTTTTGATTCCTGACCCTATAGGAGGCAACCAATTGATGTCCGTCTCACATTGATGTTTCTGTCTCTCTCCTTCCCTTCTACTCTCTCTAGAAATCAATGGAAAAATATCCTTGGGTGAGAATTAACAAACAAAAAACTCTCATTAAAATAATTTAAAAAAAAAATAACGCTCTGGGTGTGGCAGAATAGGAAGTAAATATTTCATGAGTAAATGAAATCCAAGTTTTCTATATTTTGGTGGCTGCACCACTTACTAGCCAATGGAGTCTGAGTGGGTCACTTAACCTCTCTGAACCTGTTTGCTCATCTGTCAAACAGAAAACATTCCAGCCCTGGTCGTTTTGGCTCAGCAATTGGAACGTCAGCCTGCGGACCAGAGAGTCCTGGGTTCGATTTCCGCTAGGGGCACGTACCAGAAAAAAGAAAACATTCCATAAGCAATAGCTACTGTTATGCTGCACAGGGCCTGGTGTGAAGCAAATGCAGACTCCAAGGAGCTGTCCTGAATAACCATAGATGTTTGTTTCGTGCCAATTCTGAATGCAGCACAGGGCGCTTGCTTTCTTGAGGGTTCTTATGCTTTTCTCCATCATCCTAGTCTGGGTCAGGCCTGCTTTTATTTATTTATTTATTTATTTATTTTTTATCCTCACCCGAGGATATTTTTCCATTTTTTGTACAGATAGAGTGGGAGGGAGAGAGAGGAAGGAGAGAGAGAGAGAAACATCGACGGGAAGGGACACATCGAGTGGCTGCCACCCGCACGACCAACCAGGGCCGGGGACAAACTGCAACCGAAGTACGTGCCCTTAGCGGGAACCAAACCCAGGTCTCTCCGGACCGCAGGCCGACGCTCTAACCACTGAGCCAAACTGGCCAGGGTCAGGCCTGCTTTTAACCAGTTACTTCTGGTCTGTTCTTTTGAGGGGAGAGACCCACACATTTACATGTCTCTGCCTCTGACTCTAGGAGACTTGAGAGTAAACAGGTGGCGAAGGAATGCTCCAATCCCCAGCGTGGCTCTGCAGTGTGCTGGACCACCCCACAGACTTGGAACTTGTTTTTGCAGGGTTTTGTTTTGTTTTTAGCAAATGGAGCATTTTCTGTTGACTTGCTTTTTATTTTATTTATTTATTTTTCGGGAGAGAGAGAGAGAAACATCAATGAGAGAGAACATCGATTGACCACCTCCTGCATGCCCCTCACTGGGGATCGGGTCCACAACCTGGGCATGTGCCCTGACTGGGAATCGAACTAGTGACCTCTAGGTGCATGGGTCAGCACTCAACCACTGAGCCACACCAGCCGGGCTGTTGACTTGCTTTTTAAAAAAGCAGGAAATTCAATCCTGGCTTTATCTACTGGGCCTGAATTTAAGAATTTGTCTAGTCCAGACCAGCGCCAGTAGATGGCAGATACCTGGGTTCCGGGCTCCCACTCACACACCTCATTGCCAGGGCACATCTGGGAAAGTGTGGTTTCATCCACATTCCAATTCCTACCTTCTTCATGCCACAGTTCACAAAGGAGCCCTGGCCTGGCCGGGTGGGCCGGTCCACCACGACGCCCTCTCGGAACTCAGATTCCTCATCCTGCCGCATGTGGTGAGGACTGTCCAAGGGGTTCAGGAGCCCTGTGGGTAAGGAGGGGTCATGGGAGGTACAAAAGCACATGGGGGTATGGCAGGGCACCCTGGCCCAAGGTCCAGCTCTGCCGCAGACCTGCTACTTGCCACCAGATACAAGCCTGCTCGGCCTGGGCCTGTTTTCCCAACCGGAGAGCAATTTCTCAGGGTCTGGGGATGATCACTGGGAAATGGGGGTCAGAGCCCCCCTAAGCCTTACCTGCAAACTGTAGATCCTGGTGCTTAGGAAAGAACGCCTTTCTCAGGTACCTAGTAAAGGACATAGATCTCAGGAAGCTCCCAGGGAAGCCACCTCTGCCTGACCTGTACCTCGACCTCCCCTCCCTCACGCTCAGAAAGTCTGCCCTTCGCTCCTTACTGTGGACACTCCAGGTACTGCAGAATCCGGGCCAGCTGCACACATGCCTGCCCCTTCTTGCCGACTCCCTTGAATTCCCCTTCCACAGTCCTGGAGAGAGAGAGATAGGGCTCAAGAGCCTACTGCATTCCCTTCAAGAGCTCGTCCACCCAATGTGACCTCTGCAGTGCCCTCATCAGGGTTACAATGGGGGCATTTCAGGCAGGGTTCACAGCCCAGGCAAGCCCAAGCCAATTCTGGCAGCCCATCCCTCTCTCGGAGCCCCAGTCCCCTGCAGGATGGCCCCTCACTTGGCATCTT